GAATCTGGATAGAGGATAAAGAGTTTCAAAGACTGTGAGCCAATCGAGGGAACCAAGAAATAGTGACTATGTTCCTGACTCTGGTATCCCTCTGAAAGCTTCTGCAAATAATCCTAAACATATAGCAAATATTTCTTGAAGATGAGAAGTCTGAAAAACTTGTTTTTATTCTGTAAGAAGAAATAGATATGTTAATAGTGACAAAGGCAGGGGTAAATGGATAGTTGGTAAGTCAGTAAGCAGAAAGTGAGAAAATCTACCCAGAGGAAAAAGTCGCTCTTCTACTTCCTTTTATTTCAGCGGGCTATGGAGTATTAGCAGATCCCTGATGGCTGAAGAATACCAGAGGTCAATGTATCGTATACAATAGGCTATGCGTGAAAGGAGAGAAAGAGCTACACGAATGAGGAAGCGAGCAAGAAAGAGATCAGATTTTAACGGGCCCCTTCGGTCTGTATTCGCACTCATCAGGGTGGGACGTAGTGCATAGAGAAGGCCTTGGACAGAACTTGGTGTGCAGGAGCAATGAGTGGAGATGCCTTTGTTTGCTGGCAGATAACAGCAATCTGGTTGCGAGCGGGTGTAAAATGACGTCCGAAAACCAACACCTGAATGGTTCAGATAACGGCTCAACCGTCTTAGTTGGGACCACGTTTCTGCCTCCGGACTGCAGTTCTCCTCCTCCTCCGACGATGTCCGATCGAGGCTGGAAGCAGAATGGGCAACAACTCACTGATTTTAGGTCCCCTCACATGGTGACCTGAATGTTGAAATATATGTCGCCAGTACAGGGAATTTTCGAGTTCCATGCCAAGAAAGTTGGCTTTTGAGGAAGTTCTTGGTTAATAAGCATTGAGCTTACTCCCATTTCGGGTGAAATTGTGAAATTTTGATGAATAGATTCGAGAGTCGAGCCCACCAGAAGCCGACTGAGGATTTCTCTTGGCCAGCTTTCCTGTTATATCATTTGACGGACATCATCAGAGCAGGGCACCATTCTTACAACCATTTTCAAGCTAATAAGTCAAGAAAACTAACCGGCTTCTCCCTAAAGGCGCCAAACTAAGGCTTGGCGAAGAGAGCAAAACGTCTGAGCTTTGTTCGACCTGCACAAGAGTATTCAGCTCAGGTCATGCTAAAGAGATTCAGCAATTTCGTATGGCTTGGCGTAGGGCCCTGAGAGCTTCAGAATGATGAAACTCGACAGAGGTTATACTAACTAAGCCAAACTCTTACTCATCGCGGTGCAAGCGAATGGCATCGATTTTTTCCTAATGCCCGCAGACTGTTTTAACGTGCACAGTCCATTTTCAAATTCGGCAGACATCGACTCATAAATTTTTTCCTCGAGCCAACTGTAGAACCAGACGAGTTTGTCCAGGCCAGCGGCAAATTCGCTCGGCTGATTCGAACTTCGCATCCCCCTACTCTCAATACGCCCAGAACCTTTGATCTAAACACAGACAACTTTCAAATTCAGCATGGATCGATTCAAGCTGCTTTTTATTCGAGTAGAATTCAAGAATAAGCGAACTAAACTCAAAATGTTCAACTGTGTCAGGACCAGCAATTAAACTGCACACCCAATTCACGCCTCACCTCCGCAATATTTCATCCGCCCACCGCGCCAAATCCAATTCGCTCACAAACATCTGATCAGTTCGGTTAGACTTGCCGTTGACTTATTCTTCTACAACTTTTGTACAGCACCTACATCCTACTCAACCCGTCATGCTCTTCCGTCCTCCGGATCGATTTGATTTGGTACCGAAACGAAAGGCAAGCTTTCGCATCCATCCTATGAGCCCGTTCGCGCCGTATGCATCATTATTCTCTGATAATGGACGACATAACATTTACTAAGAGATTACGAAGTCTTATAATAAAAAGCCTTAGTCTCAGGCTAGCTGTGCCTCTAATTGGCCCAAGTTTTTAAAGGACTCGGGCAAGAAAGTGATCAACCCTCTTTATGATAGATAGATTCGAGCATTTTGCGCACCCCCGTGTGGTTTTACCACTATTGTAGGGGTAAGCAATCATAAACGCTTGTGACCGATAGAATCGTCAGTCTACAGTTCGAGAAGCAATCAAAAAGTGATTTTAGAAGTTATTGGAGCTGTTTATTGACTCTACCAAAGATTAAGACGTTTCCCACTTGTGTGAATGCGCCGTTAGCCTGGGCCACACTTTTCGGAGCAGAGATTCTGACGAACTCATAAAGGCTGGTAAACTTATGCTGCATCATTATCTGGAAGTCAGTCGATACCAAGTCCGACCCACCTTTCAAGAGCTAGGATAAGATCAACACTGAAAGAGGATATTAAAAGATGGAGAATTAAAACCCAAAGACTTAAAATCCTAATATAAAACAAGAAATCGAGTATTACTCTCTTGTTGAGCTTACTTCCATTTCGAGTAACAGAATTTGGTGAAGAGATTCAAAGGTCGATTCCAACAGAAGACGACGGCGGATTCCTTTTGACCAGCTGTCGATTGGTTTTACTGGAAAATTCATGCTGACACTGGTTCCGAGGTAATCTCCTTCGATTCCGGCGAAAACGTGCTAAGCTTTCGTCCGTCATATGACGAACATCATCAGAGCCAAGTATCATCCTTACAACCAAATTCAAGCTAATAAGTCGAAAAAACTCACCGGCACATCCCTAAAAAGCTGTATATATGCTCTGTCTGACATCTTTGATGAGGTATAAAGTGATTTAGTTAGTTCCAGTGATATGTCAACCTCGAAGCATATGGCGTGTCTGTCTCTGTATGTGTATGTGCCTGTATGCGTTCGCCTATGCACGAACCCAGCAGTGATGGCTCATAATAATTAGGATAACAAAAGTAACGTCTGCTCTCAGTGATCAAGGTTTGGTGACCACTATCTCTCCCTTTCTACAGATATGTTATGACCATCACTCCGATTGGGCAAAGTCGGACATACGTATGGTTATATTTATGAGCTATTTTTGTCTTCATGTGAAAGAGAAAGAGTGGGCCAAAAGTACAGAGAAGTGACTTTGATTAGAACCAATAGAAGAAAAGACTAGTTTAATCGCCTCCTTTTTGCAGGCGACCCAACACCCTCTCTATCCTTGAGTCTATTAGTTAAACGCAAGTAATGTTTAGAGGTTGGTTGACCTTGTTTTCGTAACTTGATCGTATTGGTAGGAAGACTAAGAGGAACGCATCTAGTCCTTAGTCCAATGTATGCATGATCATTTCCAAAGGTCAAACAACCTCTATACAACGAAAGGAAACAACGACCACACAAAAGGCCACACCATCTTGGTCTTCATAACTTCGATTAAACAAATAATGTTTACTTATCTTCCTTACATTCAATGTGTTCCCTATTCGGTTTATTTCGATGGCTACTCTAATTTTACGTTTAGCCGCAGACATGCCATAATCCTCAAAACGAGAAGTGTGAGACCATTCAATCTTGTCTCCAGTTGCTGCCCTGTGCTCAACTGGTTCTGCTTTTTTAACCCAACAGCCTTTACAGACACTTTTGTGCTCGGCTAACCTTTGCAGAATGGGACGACAAGTCTCTAACATTAATGCGACTACATGAACACATTATCTTGTAGCAACCCGATCTGGATAATTAGTCAACTTTCCCTCTAAAAGTCAACATAACTGAAGAAAGTGTTGTAGTTTTCCTGAAAACGGTTTTTATTCCTCACTTTCTTACTCGTTGAGAAAATGCACTAAGGCAAAGATAAAGCATGAGGAAAGGTCTCCTTATCTCTCCTTACCTATTCACCATTCAAAAAGCTATTCTTTATTAATCTAATGTTATTTTCAATCAAGCCTAGGAGATAATTATTCTTAAGAAATATTATTTTAAGCTGATTCAGTTCATTGTCGCAATGGTCTATATCAGCTAGTCTTATGCTCCGAATAATC